GAAGGCAGGGGATTTCTTGGCAAGATGCTTCACACCTCCCACGACTTGTGGGAGAAAGGCTCGTATTGCTTTTGTAGTAAATGCGGACGGTACACGTCCTCTGCGAATCCTGGTTTTCTAACAGGTGTGTGTGTGTGAAGTCGACCAATATGGTCGACATGATCTTGTCAAGACGCAGTACACTTCGCTGCAGCGCCTCAGGAAGGGATTGCCTCCCAGGTGCGGAATCAGCTCCTGGGGTGAAGGGTACAGTGGGCACAGTGCCCCTACACCCTCAACCTCCTCTTGCAGTGGGGGTGGTCGGATCTCCTCGTGATCCGTGTCTGTTTCACCAGGCGTTCAATCTCAGGCTTCCTGATGCTTGTGCTGCCTGCAGCTCCTAGCAAATAAACTCCTCCTCCTCCTCCTCCTCCTCCTCCTCCTCCTCCTCCTCTTCCTAGCCGTTTTGGCCCCGTCCCCCTGCGGCGCCGAGAGGGCGCGGTGGGGTGTTTTGGGCCACCGACTATCTCCTCGCGATATCGGCTGGAATCTGACGTCCTGAGTTCAGGAGTGACGATAACAAAAAGTCGGTGAAATGGGAAAAGGAAAGAAGGCGCGTGATGCTCGGAGGGCTCAGCAGGTGGGCCCTACCGATCCATGGCCGCCTTTGCCAGTGGGCCTCCAAGGTACCAAGCCGCCTGTGCCGCCGTCCAGCCCGTTCTACGGGCTGCCGCCGTGGCCTGGGCCGAGTCAGCCCACGTGGCCGCTCTGGAGCTCGCCGCCGCCGCCTCCGCCAGGTGGTCGCAGGCCAGCGAAAGGAGCTGGGAAAGGGAAAGGTGACGATCGGAAAGTGAAGTGCAGCCAGTGCCCTCGGTGGGCGTGGGTGTCCAAGCTCGAGCAGTATGGTAATACTTGCCTGTGCGGGGCGCCTTTCACGAACGAGGCCCCTCCACCAGCGGCACCACCTGTCGGCGGCGGCAAGGCAGGTGCCATCGGATCGGCCATGAGGGATCAGTTGCTGGAGCTCATCAGGTCGCAGCCCGGCAGCGTGCAGGCCAAGGCTGCGCAGAGTCTCCTGGACGCGGCCAAGGAGGAGCCGCCAACCAGAGGGACGGGCGGTGCGCCTGTCACTCAGCGCGTCACGGAGGTGACGGCACGTGTCCAGCGGGCCCAGACGTCCTTCGACAAGATTCGGGCGCAGCAGGTGCGTCTCACGATGGAGCTCGAGAAGTGCAAGGGATCGCTCGCAGAGGCGGCCAAGGCGCTCGCGATGGCGGAGAAGGAGCGGGCCGAGGTCTTCCAGACGGTGGTGCCCGCGCCTGTGCCGCCGCCTGTGGCAGGGATCGACCTGAGTTCCCTCCTGGGCGCTGATGAGAAGGAGATCTCGGAGTCCATGTTCACTGTCAACTTGGGCCCTGAGTTCGACAATTCTGATGGGGTGATGGACGAGAATGACCTTAAGGAGATCGAGCGGCGCAAGCAGCTGGTCATGAGTGCTCTTGTCGGCGCGCTCAAGACCACCTTCGGTGACTTGCAGGACACGCTGAGGCTGCATCGCGAGTCCTTGGGCGCCATGAAGGAGAAGGTTTCCAAGAAGAGGCGGCACACGTCTCCGACGCCTGGAGGCCATGGCGAGGCCCAGGTGGTGGCGGCCGCTGGTGTCGGCACGGGGGCGCCTGCGGAGGCGGGCGCGGCGGCCCCTGTTGCGGCGTCTGGTGCTGCGGTGGTGGCCGAGGCCACGAGCCTGGGTGCAGGCGCTGGCGCGGCAGCGAAGCCCGACGACGCGGAGGCCACGAGGCTGGAGGCCGTCAGGACGCGGCTGGCGGCGGAGGCCGACACGCTGCTCAGCGCTGCCAGGGCGTCGGCGGCGGGTGGGTCAAGCCTTTAGCCTGCATGGCTCCCCTGACCTCGGCGGGCCATCCAAGGATGGAGGTTGGGGGGCTGAGCCGCTCCCGCCGAGTACCTGTTCAAGGTCGGCCTCTTCAACTGCTACGGCTTCTGCGGGCCCTGCTGGCAGCGGCGCTGGCGCTGGTGCTGTCGCGGCGGCGGCGGCTGCCCACTGCCCAGGTCGCCTGCCCCCTGCCACGGCCATGTTCCCCCGATCCCCATCGGTCGGGGACGTTAAAGCTCTGGGCTTCGGCCTTGCGCCTTTGGGGCGGGACGAGAGTGACGTGGCAGGGGGACTCGATGGCGGCTTGGGCTCGGCGGCGGCGCGGGCTGGCGCTGGCCTCAGGCGGCTGCATGTTCGCAACTTGGGGGGCTGGGGACCAGCTGCGAAGTCCCTTGCCCAGCAGCATCGCGCGGACATCATTGTGGTTCCTGAAACTCATGTGGGGCCTGCAGGTTCGAATGATGTCCTTCATGATTGGCGGAAATCTGGATACACGGGCGTGCTCTCGGCGGCATACTCGACGGCTACGCGAGAGAAGGCAGGCGGCATCACGATGGGTGTTCGCAAACGTTTTCGAGTTTCTTCTCTTCGCCATCTGGCTGCGGCGCCTCAGGATCAGGTTGGCCTCAGGCAGCTGGACCAGGTTGAGCAGCCAGGCTTGGATTTTCGTGACATGGTGGCTATGCAGCTTCGGGCTCAGCACCAATCCCTGCTGGTCGTGGGCGTGTACATGACCACGGCGGTGGGTGCTCGGGGCAACGCTCAGAAGCTGGCCAATCTTGGGGCGTTGTTGGCGACGATCCAGGGCATGTGGCTTGTCGTCGGAGATTGGAATATGACGCCGCAGGAGTTGTCCGCATCAGGGTGGCTCGAGCTTTCGCAGGGGGTCGTCGCGGTGCCGAGTAATACTTCTTACACGTGCACGGCGGGCACGGGGCGTATGCTGGATTACCTTGTTATGTCTGCATCGGCCCAGCACTTGCTCGCCTCCATCGAGGCGGACTTTGAGACGGTCGAAGAGGCAGGCAAGTCGCACTACGGTTTGGACATCTCGCTGGATTTTGATATGTCGAGAGCTATGGCGTGGACCCTTCGACGTCCTCGTGCTTTTGACCATCCTGCGCGCCCAAGAAAGCAGCCAGACCCTGACAGCAAGAGATCTAAGAAGCAGGCCGCTCGCTTGAGCCACCAGGGTGCCGAGGCGAACCCAGTCAAGATGCCCACGCCTGCAGCTTGGGGGGCCAAGCGCAAGCTTTCCATCAAGAGCCCTCCTGTTCTGCAGTATGTTCATCTGGAATTTGAGGAAGAGGATTTCTGGACCGACAATGAAGAAGACGACACTGAGGCCCCGCCTGAGGATGCTCCGATCTTGGAGGAGATCGAGGAGGTGCCCGAGGTTGAGGAATCCACCAATGCCAGTCTGCAGTGTGTTTGGTCTAGTTCGGCGAAGGATTTGTTGTGGCACAGTCTTTCGGAGCAGGTGGCACGAAGATCGGAGCCTCCAGCTTTCGTTGAACAGAGCCTTGGTTTCCAGGCCGACCCTGCTGCTGCCCGTCGACTTGGCGAAGTTTTCTCTGAGTGGTCGCACACCATGGAGTTGTATTATTGTGAGTTGTATCAGGTGCACCCTCAGGAGCGTCGCCAGTTCATGGGCAGGGGCAAGTTGCAGGAGCCAGTCAAGCAACCAATGGATGGTGGTAAGCCGTGGCCTACTACGTCTGACGCCAGTTCGCGATGGTGGTCCACGGTTGCTAGCCACTTGAACGAGCTTGCCCACGTCAGATCTGGGCCAGAAGGCCTGCCTCGAGCACAGCATCTCAGAGGACGGCTCTCGGCCCTGGCCTCGTCCATTCCTGTCTGCCAGATCGTTCCGCTGCCTGAGCGTAGGCGCGCCAGGTGGGTTCGTTCGCTCCGCACTCTGTCAGGCATCACGAGCGAGTCCTTGGCTAAACTGGCGGAGGCGGCAAGTAGAGCCGCCCATCAGGCGCAGCGCGCGGTGGCCAGGCAGCGTTTGCAGGGCTACCGCGACTGGGTCTGCCAGCGCGCGATCAACGGCATGGGGGCCCTCCACCGCCTCGTGAAGGACCCGATGGCGGAGGTCAGCGAGATTCGCTATGTGGAGGTCACCACTTGTGACGGCGCCTCGCTCATGGAGGCGAAGCGGGCGGTCTGGGACAAGCTCTGGTCGCCGTCGAACTTCAGCAGCACCGACGCCATGAAGGTGCTCCAGGAGGCTCGCGCCCTGGCGCGGGAGGAGGACTTGCCTGCTTTGACGCTGGACGGCCTCGAGGCGGCATTGCTCGCAGTCTCGCCGTCCAAGGCGTCAGGCATCGACGGTGTTCGCCAGCGGGATGTTTGGTGGCTGCCTGAGGCGGGCCGCCAGCAGCTGCTGTCTCTTTTTCAGCAGGTCGAGCTCGCCGTGGCTTGGCCATGGCAGTGGCTCACAGCCATTATTGTTCTGTTGCGAAAGCCTGACGTGCGCAAGGATCGCGCCATCGGCCTTCTCACCTGGTTGGGTCGTCTGTGGAGCCGAATGCGATCTCGTCCCGCGGAGGTCTGGGCCGAGGCTCGCTCTGGCCCTTGGGGCGCCGCGGTTCGAGGGAACAGTGCTCTACGGGAGGCTTTGCTCAGGTGCTATGCTGACGAGGCTGCTCTGTCGTCGGTGCTGCCTGAGTATTGTTCTGCGTCCAATCTGCGGGACGTCGAAGCCTTTTATGATACCATTCGCTGGGAAAAGGTGGTGGCCCATGCCCTCCATTTAGACTTCCCTGCTTTGTGCCTCTCCTTGGAAGCTCTCCTGCACATGGGCCCTCGGATTTTGAAAGATGCTGGGTGCGTGGCGCCTCCAATCATCCCGTCAGGGGGCCTTGTTGCAGGAGCCAGGCGTGCGCCAGATTTCGCCAAGTGTCAGATGTTTTCTATCTGTGAAATGTCGGTCGATTCGAGTTCGTTGGTACAGTTGCGGACTTGGATTGACGACGTCACCCAGAGAGCGGAGGGGATTCGCCGCGATGTTGTGGCTCACCTCGTGCGTGCGGGAATCACCTTTGCTCGTGGGTGTGCTCAGGAAGGTCTCAAGCTGGCTTCTAAATCCACCATCATTGCGTCTGATCTTGCTGTTGCTCGCGAGATCCAGGCCGGCTTAGGTGCGCAGGGAATCGTCGTCGAGGTCGCGTCGGTCGCCGCCGACTTGGGCATCGAGCGCGGGAGTGGAGCGAAGATTTCCAAGCCTCGCCACTCCAGGCGCATTGCCCAGGCGCATCGGCGCGTGAATCGCATCAATAAGCTGGCCCGAGTTGCCCCGCGTAAGGTGGGGCCTAAGCTTGTTCTCACGGGAGCCCTCCCCCAAGCCTCGTATGCTTGGAAAGTTTTCGGTGTAGCCCCCTCGGTGCTCTTGCAGTGGCGGCGGGCCCTGGCGAGCACCCTTGCGCGAGGGAATGTGGGCAGGTGCCTCACTTCGATTTTGGCGTTGGAAGTGGGCCCCAAGGATCCCGCTTTCTGCTCGGTCTTTTCGCTTCTGGACTCTTGGTTTCAAATTGTATCCAGGGTCTCGGAGCAGGCCCTCCCTCGTCTGCACAGCTGCTGGAGAGACACGGTTCATAGAATTCGGGACCTGGGACCACGGCGTCGGTGGCACAACATTCGTGGGCCTATTTCGGCCATCGTCGCCACGATGCTGGGGCTCGGGTGGCAGCTGGATGGGCCTTGGCACTGGACTGCTCCGTCGGGTGAAGAGTATGCTCTCCCTGACGAGCTCCGTACTGAGGCTTATATGACATCCGATTTCAAACAGTCTGTTGCGGACTCAATCGAAGCCCAGTTGTGGGCTGGTGCATCCAAGTTCCGCAACGGGGGTGGCTCGGAGTCAGGCATCGATTTCACTGTTGCGCGTCGTCATCTTGCTTGCCTGCGCAAAAAAGATGTCAAGCAGGCTGGCCTGCTCAGAGCTATTCTCACTGGTGCTGTCTGGACTCGCTCTCGCATTGTCAGTGCTGGAGGTGAGTGCTCCGAAGTTTGCCCCAGATGCGGTCTCAGTTCCGAGACCGATGTTCACAGATTTTGGGAGTGCCCGTGTAATGCTGAGTTCCAGGAAATCTCTGAGGCCCTCGCCAGACGAGGGGTTGCAGCGGCCGAAGAGTGTCCTGTGCTTTGGCTCCGCGGCCTCACACCCAAATCCTGGACTCACGTTCCCCCTCCTCCCGATTCGCCTCTCTCTGCCGCGTCAGGTGCCTTTCCCCATGTGGAGGGTCGTCGCATCTGGGGTGCGGGGGACGCTAGTGGGGGGGAGTTCTCGCGGGACCGTAGGCTCAGGAGGGTGTCTTGGGGCGTCGCGATTTTTGGGCTCAGTTTAGAAGAGCTCCCCCAGGCGAATGCCGTATCCAGCTTGGCCTTTCTTGCGGGGGGCGGCATCACTGGTAGGCAAAGTGTCAATCGGGGGGAGCTCTGGGCCCTTCTCAAGTTTTTGGAGCAGAGCCCAGTTGGTGCCCAGCTCGGATATATTGCCGACTCGGCCTACGTGTCCAGTGGAGTTACTCGGATCGCTGCTGGTCTGGGGGCCCGTGTGTCGAGCCACCGCGACTTGTGGGCCCGTGTGCAGGAGCTGCTTCGCGTCAGGGATTTGTACCTTGTCCGTGTGCCCAGCCACTTGTCCGTCCAAGAGGCTGGGGAGAGAGGTCTCAACCCTAGTTTTGTGTTGGCTAACGCCATTGCCGACCACATTGCGGGTGAGTTTGAAAAGGAAGTCAGAGTGCCTTTTGCTGTAAGTGCGGCTGTTAGGATGGCCGACGCTGTCACGTGTAAGGTTCAGAACCACCTTCTCAGTGTTATGAATGATGTGATGGATAAGGAGGGCAAGAGGCCCCCTCGTCCGCCTAAGATTCGCGTGCGCAATACTCGCTCGAAATTGCTCAGAGCGGCAGCGGTGAATTCAGCTCATAGTTGCCCGCAGTTCGCGGGGGATTTCGGTCAGTGCCGTAAGTGTGGGTGCCGTGCCAAAGCCAGTGAGCTGACGGCCTTCCTCGGGACCCCCTGCCACCCGATGTCCTGGACGGGGGCGGTGTTTCGGCCCACGGAGGCCGTGTGTGTCCGTTCGAGGGAGGTGCACTGCTCCCACCAGCTTTGTTTCTGGCCCGACCAGGATTTGCTCTTTTGTACTGTTTGTGGGTGCTACTCTACCAGCCAGTTGAGAGAACTGGCAACCGAATGCTCGTATAAATTAGCCAAGGCGGGAGCGCAGAACCTCAGTCGAATAGGTCGAGGGCTCCTGCCTGGATCGTGCGTTTGGGGTAGGGAGCGGCAGGAGAGGAGGGTGAGAGGGAGCGGGCAAAGAGGGGAGAGCGCCGCGGCCGCGGCCCGCCGCGCCGCGTTCAACTCGGACGTGGCGGTGGGCGCTGCCAGGCGCCGCCCCGCCTCCGCCCCCCCCCGACCCTCCGCCGCCGCCGCTCGTCCTTGACTCTTACCTCGGTCATCGGGACCTTGCCCTATATATACTCCTCCTCCTCCCTCCTCCTCTCCTCCTCCTCCCTCCTCCCTCCTCTCCTCCCCCTCCTCCTCCTCCTCCTCCTCCTCCTCCTCCTCCTCCTCCTCTCTTCCTCCTCCTCCTCTCCTCCTCCTCCTCCTCCTCCTCCTCCTCCTCCTCCTCCTCCTCACTCCTCACTCCTCCCTTCTCCCTGCTCGCTGCTCCCTGCTCTCTGCTCCCTCCTCCCCATCCTCCTCCGTGAAACTGGGCGGGAATGGGGCGCGGCGCACACAGCGCGCTTCAGCAAGCGAAATGCCGGATTCACCCCAGCGCTGAGCAGATTGATCCTGACGGCTGCACTTCCGCATGGACGCGGCGCGCGACGCCCATTCGCGAAAACCGGTGGCAAGGCCGCACCTGAAAAGGCGAAAAACCGATTCCGCCAAAGCGGGGCGCGATCATCGGAGCCATTGTGCAGAAAACCCGTTGTGCCTGCCATTCGGTATCCGGGGCCATCTTGCTCGTGATTGTCCGCCGGCGGCGAGTCCAGCAACCACACCTCGCGCGCACGGACTCGGACACGGCTCCTCGCGTGTGGCGCCATGACGGCGCGGAGGGGGGCGCCGAGGCGTCTGCATGGAAGAAATCGGCAAAACAGCACTCACATATGAAAATGATGCATGAGAGGCTGTGAACAGTCCGTTTAGAATGCCACGGGATGTTCTGACCGCGAGGTCGATACGAGTTTGGCCCACGGAGAAAACAAAACGCAAAACCATTGACAAATAAGGTCTCGGCCGCACGGCCGGCAGACTAGTCCATATATTTACAACTAGTGCTTTGAAATATTGTACATGTAATCAGACTTCGTTGGGCGCACTAACGAAATTGTCCCCCAGGGCCCAACCCTGGCTTTTTACACAACCTGCTATCCCACTTGATGGAATTGATCCTCCAGACAAGTGAAGAACCACTGGAATTCCCGAGCAAGAATTTGCACGCTCTACACTAAAATCGAATTTACGTACGCATCCAAGTGGCGGATAGTCTCCGCGCGGCGATGTCTGCAAGTCGCCGCTCGTGCAAGTTGCTGCACGCACGCCAGCGCAGCATTTCACACAGGGGGACGCGTCAACGATGCCGCCCAACTGGCCGGCATCAACAAATTGACGCCGCGATTCTGGAAGTGAGGAACTCGTGTTTTACGGTGCAGCAAATCCTCGGCGGGCCGTCCCTAGGGGGGGCTTTGTCTGGCTTCGCGCCCCCAGGAAGGGGGCGGGAGGGCCTGGGCTTCGCCCATGGACTCCAATGCGAATCCCCGCGGACCCTGTGCAGCACGCACGCGCGGCCCAGGGGGAGGCGCACCGCTCGCCCGTCACACCACCACGCGGGGGACGCGAAGACCCTGTGAGCGGCGCGGGGCGGGCACAGGGGGGCCACCTAATGGCCCCCCGCACCCGAGTCGTGGCCATCGCGGGCCTCATCTTCGGATGAGGCACCAATCGGCCTCTAGGATGGGCACCATTGGCCCATCCACAGCCAAAGGAAGAGCACCCTACGCATTCCGCCGTTCTTTGACACTTCATTGCGACATCCATTGGACTTTCCCACTTGATACTTCAACCTGTCCCCAAATCATCCAGCCGATGGTTGCTTTCGCTTCCAAAGCCCAGATCCTCCTGAATGTTGCTTTTCGCTGGGGCGCGGCGCTGTCCCGTGCTGCGTCAGATCGTCGGAAGCTCGGCCGCGCGCAGGCGAACGCCCTCATTGGCCTGGCGGGAGCACGCGCGACCCCAAAACTTCGGCCGCGCCGAGATCGATCATTTTGCATCCTGGGAGGGGGGGGGAGCGCGGGCGAGGCGGGCTCGACCCAATATTCCTACCGGTCCTGCGCCGCGCAGAAGAGCGGGGCCGCTGGGCACCGCGGCGGTTTCAACCAGCCAGCGATAAAAGCGGGGACGCCCCCCGCGACCCCTAGAGAATCCAGGGCTCGCCGGGGCCGGGCTTCCTCTCAAAACAGCCAGGGCCCTCCCGAAACCCTCCGACAACCCTCGGGAAGGGTTTTGGGACAGTCCGCTGGCGGGTCTGAATGGAGCTGGCTGCCCAAGCTTGGCCATTGCGATCATGCCGACCCCGCCCCCAAACAGCTAGACTGCCGCCCCACTCTGCCGGGGAGTACACTGCAGCCGCTGTGCATTGGCCGCTTCCACTAGGGCAATCAGACCCAGCGCGCCGGCGCCCCCGATGAGTTCCCTCGGGCCCACTGGGCCGCCCAGCTGGGCCTGAGCAGCTAGGTCTCGCCTGCCTGCCAACCTCTGCAGTTCCGCCTCAGCCGGGCGATTGCATGCTTTCGGTTGGTAGCCAGGCATCGCACCAACTACTGCAAGTACTGCGGGCGCGCCGCCTAACTCGAAGAGGTCGGAGGTTCTGCAAATTTCCATCGCCGTCGCCCTCGGGAGCTGCGCCGCTGCTTCGCGCGCGCTGGCGTCGAAGTAGCGCGGCGACCATGCGGGCCAGGGGCAAAACCATCGCATCGGCCGATCCAGCGGCCGAGATAATCACGCCAGACCGCAGGAGGGCACAGACGAGCGCACACCGCCAGCGACGGTTCCGTCACCAGATCAGGATGCTCGAACAGGCGGAACATGCCGAGCGCCCTGACTCGCGCCCCCCCCCCTTATGGGGAGCTGGCCCCCCATGCCTCTGCAGCATGCTTACCTGAAGGCATGGGGCCAACCAGCTGCTGAGAGAGAGACCTCAAGCAGCGCCTCATCCATGAGAGGGGAGCTCGTTTGCTCTTCACCGACACCCGATGGGCCGCGCCAGCTCCTCTTTCAACCACAAGACAAACCAAACACTACCAGAAAACGCCTCAATACACCGACTGCCTCCAGCACGAGAAGCAGCGCACCATCTTGGGGACTGCACTTCCCAGGCCACGAAGGCCGTTCACGTCCGCGCGCCTGGGCCGCGCCGGCCTGCTGACCGCTTTCGAGAGGCAGGGGCGCCAGGGCGGCGAGGGGGGCCGCCAGCGGCGATCCGCAGCGACGCGCCCGAGGGGGGCCGGGGGCCTTGGCGACGCGGCCAGGCCGCGCGGGGCACAACAGCTGGACGGCCGCTCACTGCCAAGCCGCCAACTCCGAAGGGAGGGGCGCAGGAGGGAAGGGGCAGGGGAAGGGGAGGCAGGGAAGGGAGAGGCGGCGCCCGACGACGATCGAGTCCTCGGAAACTCACTGCTGCAATCACAAGGCGCAAACGTGCAAGGCTGCAAGCTGATCCGCCACCAACCGCGAACACCACGCACCTCCCGCGAAACGCTCGCTGAAATAGCTGCGCGGCGCCACAGACCGAAATCGGCCTGGCAGAAGCACTGTTGGCTTCCCAATTGTCAGCGACCACGGTGCAAGATAAACCGCCGGCCGCGCGCCGAGGCGAAGCTGATGCGGCGTCGTGGAGTCAAGCAAGGCCAAGAAAACACATGCACTGGGACCGGCTCGGAGCAGTCGGAACCATGGAAAAAGCGTCGCTATCCCCAGGCGACAACAAGCACTGCTGCAAGCTGACTGTTCGATACTTTCTGCACATCCGCTTACGAATTCACACAAATGCATCACCTTAAAACCAAGGGCTTGGTTCGCACAGACTCTCGAACAGACATGCTGCCTCAGAACTAGGACGGGAAGAAGGTATTGACACAGCGTGCTATTGATACGTTCCGGAAATTCCGGGATTTCTAACAGCCTTCGCGCGGGGTACACCTTGCGTCGAGTATTGTCTACTCTGGCTGGCGCCGCTGGTCCGTCACCCATTCGCAATCGAGTGGTCGCCCGTAAGGGGCTATTTGGCAGTTGCTGACCCCCCTTCTCGTTGCCGAGCGCGGGGGGGGACGGTGGCGCACCGTCGTATTGCCCGCCGCCGCGCGCCTCGCGCCTCGGCGGATTTCCGAAGACCTGGGAAGGCAAAACATCCTCGACCCTGGAAATTTCTCCGGGGGTAAACTTGAACAAATCTGGGGGCATTTTCGAACATGTCCGGCCTACTTTTTGAAACGTACCAGATACGTTGTTCAAAATTTCCGGGATCGATTTTGACAAATTCCGGAATCCATCTGGAAAAATTCCGGATTTCAGAATTCTTCATATGCCCTGCACGGCGGGCGCATTCCACCCCTCAAAACTGTTTTTGTTTGAAAATGTCCAGGCTCCTTTTTACAAATTCCGGAACCGCTCGCGCGGGAAAAAGCGGAAGCGTTTTCTGACGCATTCTACAATCCAGAAATCATGTCCGGGCGGTCCGACGGGCGCGGCCGGCTGGTTCACGCGCCGCGCCGCGCGCGATTGGGCGCAGCGCGCGCCGCGCGTCGCGCCCGCGAACAGCACTCGAAAGGGCGACCTCGAAAACAGCGCCACGGCAACTGCGACTCCCGGACTCCCCAAAAATAACACAGCACGCAGCTTGGAATCTTCGAGGGCGCTCCGATGCGCGAAAAACGCACTGCGAACAACACGCAAAAAACCTGCGCGACGGAATGCGCTCGACCATTCGTCCCTGGAGCCAGCGCGGAAGAACAGGAAAACCTGGAAATCTGGAAAACTATCAATATCAATACTTCATGCTCCTCTGAAAAACTGCTGCTCTGAAGAACTCTGCGGGAACAGGGGCCCATTTCATCCCCGTTCAAAGCTCAAGATGGCCCGACTTGCTTCGCGCGGCCGCCCCTCTCAGCGGTAGTCTCGATCTACAGCGTTCGGGCGAACCTGCGCGAACTTTGAGATCCTCGCTCGCTGCCGAGGGCTACGAACGTCTTCGACACGTGATATGGCCTGCCTTGCTACTGGGCAAGCACCTGGGGGTCAGGGATGAGGTCGCGTCGATTGATGTTGATTTTGGCTTTGAGATATAAAGACTGCCAAAACTCCTCGGAAAGCCCCCCGAACTCCGACGGCACTACAATGTGGCTCCTCTGCAGATTCAGGTCGCAAACAACAGCCGAATTGCAGCTTGAAGAAGCCAGAATCGAAGAGGGCCGAACGAATCCCGTGAGCTCTCGCACCTTCCTCGAGCGCTGAACAAAAATTTATCCCAGTGCGACCCTACCTAAAAGATGGAGCCTTTAGGAAAGCAGCATTAGTAGGAGCGGTTTCATGTCTCCCGGGCCGTTGCTCTGTGCGAAACCTTCGTGAATCCTAAGGGCTCAAGCTGCCCCACTAAGGGCTCAAGATGGCCCACAGACGGACAAAATGCATGGAACATACGTTCGCACACACATATATATATATATATATATATATATATATATATATATATATATATATATATACATATATGCATATGTATATATATATATATATATATATATATATATATATATCAGCAACAGCAAAAAAAATGCTCTGCTGCGCTATGCTATGCTATGCTATGCTATGCTATGCTCTGCGCTGCTATGATGTGCTGCGAAATGCGATGCTGGGCTGGGTCAGGCTAGGCTAAGCTATGCTATGCTATGCTATGCTGCGCTATGTTATGCTGCGCTATGCTATGCTGTGCTATGCTATGCTATGCTATGTGTTTGCTGTGCCTTCGCTTT